ACTCCAGGACAAAAGCATTAACAAGGTGAACGAGGAAAAATGTAATAAGAAAAAGTTAATCAATGAAGAAGTTGTGTATAAGTCATAAACATTAAGAGGTAAACAATATAGCAAAATCCCAGAAACAAAAGCAGATATTGATGAAAAGATTTTTATTGTGTAATGTTTTTAATATTCTTTCAGAACTTGACAGTTCAAGTGTATTATTAAAGAACAGATACAGAGGTTTGAAAAATACAATAAACTATACATTTTTTCTTTTCTTATATTTAAGAAAAGGTATTTATGTAATACACAAATTACCTATGTACTTGGCATAAGAGAAAACTTTGCTAAATTTCCCAAAGCATGTTTTTGTACTTTCAAATACAAAATCAATCATTAAAAATAGTTTTAATCCTGTAATTATTAGAAAATTAAGAAACCTCTTCCACATAATTCTTGTTTCAAAGAGGAAGTCTAAATTAAAACCACAGATTAAGTACCCAATAGAGAATAGGAAGACACTTTATTTTATTTTTTTTTGTTAAGCTTCAACCGAGGATATTTTTAGAGAGAATGGAAGGGAGGAGGAGAGACAGAGAACATCAATGTGAGAGAGAGACACTCACATCGACTAGTTGCCTCCCACAGGGGCCTCATTGAGGATCAACCTGCAACCTAGGGCCCTTGACTGGAATGGAACCTCAACCCTTTAGTCTGAGGGTAGGCATTCTATCCACTGCCAAACTGGCTAAGGCTGAAAACACTTTATATTAAAACCTACTGGATACCATTAAGAGCTTTGTTGGGATATGGGGTAGGGATTTATAGCCTTGAAAGAAAACAAAATTACACAAAGTCATGAATATCATATTTGAAACAATTTGGATATTGTTTTTCCTTGATATTTTTATAAAATGGCCCCATAGGCCCTTTCATTGATTTTCAGATTTTCTTCACTTGGACTGTTTTCCTTTTTCATTCATCCCTTTGTCAATGTCATAGTAAGAGCGAATAAAGCGATCAAGAATTTTTCTGTCTGAAATTATGAAGAAAAATAGAATGAAAATTTCCATTTAACTATTTAAGTGCTAAATAGAGAAATTCTAGGAGAGAGGCAAATATCTTATAATAGTACTCTATGTACAAATTTGATGAAACCAAAGTAATCAAAGAATATTATGTCTAATGGCTAAAAAGGCACAGTTGTGTGATTACTGATTAAATAGAGCAAATAATATTCAAGGGATTAGCAAGTTTTTATGGAAAGAGCATGGGTTTGGGAATGAAATAGATGCAGGTTTCAGTTCTGCACTGGCAAGTATTAGCAAGTCATTTGACCTCCTTTTTTATTTTCTTATCTTTGAATTCAGGTAGTAGTAGTTACCTTGCACAGGTGTGGGAATGGTTAGGAATGCTGTGTGTGAGGCACCTAGACAGTGCCTGGTCCATAAAGACATTCAATAAATACTATAGCTTTACCCTTTATCACTGGGTACATAGTAGTACATAGTGATGGTAAATAACAGAGACCATTATTCCAAAAGTTCCATTGAGGCCAGGGCTGTTTTTCTTTCTACCAATGTTGGTAGGCTTTACTGTTCTTGAGTGTTACATAACTATGGGGAGGACCTTCAAGTCCCCTGTCTGGAAAACAAAGAATCTTGCCTGGCCTGAACATCTGTGGTTCCCTAATTCTAATTATATATTTTTAAATAGTACAGAGTGGAGCTGTAAAACTTTGCTCATGCCTAGCAATTTTCACCTGTGCAGCCTAAACCAGAATAACCAAAAGAAAGGAATAATGCCAATGATCACATGTTATCATGGTCGATGTTTCAAAGCCAGTGAGGTCTATAGATCAGATGTGTGTTTGTGTGTGAACTTGTTCCTGTTTTCTCTCCAATTAGGCTTGCATTTATTTGTTTTTGTGATCTCACATTTAATTTTGAACCATCCCTACCCTACCCAGATCTTTGGACCCCAGCATTTTTAAAATGGAATCTCACACTTTATGAAAATTTATACTTTATGAAAAGTGTAATGCACTAATCTTCCAGTGCAATTCAATGGTTTGACACCTGCACATGTGTAACCCACACCCATATCATAGTGTAGATCATGTCCACTGCCCCCCAAAAAACCATCATGCTTTTTCCCATTCAATACCTCCAACTCCAAGATAGTTAAGGTTCTAGGATCTCCTTCCTCATAGATTGGTTTTGCCTGTTGTAGATGTTAGAATAAATTAAATCATATAAAATATATTATTTGGTGTCTGGCTTCTTTTGCTCAGCACACTGTTTTTGAGGTTCATACCTTGTTTTGAATATATCAGTAATTCATTCTTCATTAGCTAGTACTACTTCATTATGTGAGTATATCACCATTTGTTGATGATGGAGATTCAGGTTGTATCCAGTTTAGGACTATTAAGAATACAGTGGTTCTAAACATGTTTGTGCAAGTCTTTTTGTGGGCCTTCCTTTTTTTTTGGTGGGGGGAGAGAAGGGAGAGGGTGGTAAGTATGTAGAAGTGTAATTTCTGGGTCATAGAGAAGGTATATGTTGAACTTTATGAGAAACTTCCATATCTATTTCCAGAATAATTGTACTATTGTACAACTACTAGCAATGTATTGCTCCATAGTGCCAATATTGGCTACTGTCAGTCCTAATTTTCAGCCTAAAATGTCTCTATTTTTCAATCTTATATGAAAGAGTTGATTTTAAGAGGAGCAAAAAATAATCTTTGATACTAAAGATAAGCATATAAGATGAATCAAGTTTGGCATAAATTAATAAAAAGGATGAGATTGTGTCAAATTTAATGTCAATTTAAAACTGTTCAAAAAGGCTGCCAGTTGTAATCCAAATGCCATCCATATTTATTATGCATAGATGCAGATTTAGACCCCATGATTTTGTTTATGCTGTTTCATCTGCTTAGGAATGGCCCTGCTTCTCCTTGTCACCCAGTTCATCCTTGTCACGCAAAGGAGGCCTCCTCTGAGCAGCCTTCCCTAACCACTGTTGGCCCAAAGGGTTGAGAATATCCCTTAAAGGCTTTTACTAGACCTTCTACTAGAGTATTTGATTGACAAGCCATGATAACTATGCATTGTCTCCCCCTAAGAAGGAGGGTTTGTTTTTTATGTATCTTTGTAACAAATGAGCGTTATAGGTATTCGATCAATGATGCTGATTGAGTGAGTAAATAAATGCATTTTTAACAATACTGAACACACCCTAGGAAGAAAAACCCTTTGAATGGCCATATTCATAGAAGTTTTAATTGGAGGAACAGATGGGGAAGGGGGGAGAGTCTTAGCTTAAAATTCTGAAAAGCAGATTTCAGATAATTTTGTCTTTCAAGGGGGAGTGAGTGGGGACATGACTGTTTTTACCAGTATATTACAGAGGCCCAAAGGATGTTTGAATCACTTGAAGATTAAACCCATTTTGAAAACAGAATGGCCGCTACAGACATCTAGTTCAATTTCCTCAAGTTGTAAATACAGAAACTCAATACCAAAGAGCTACATGTAGAGTTAGCAGGAACAAAAAGTTCACCATCAGGTGCCCCTCCTTCCTTCTTCTCAGGCTTTATTTTGTGTTTTCCTGGAGTTTTCTCAGTCCCGCTCACCCTGCCACCTCCCCAGCCCCTGACTTAGGCCATTATACTGATCCTTCCCCTTCCTCTCTCTCATTCAAACTAAACCTGAATGGGCTCCTGTGCTAAGAGGTATAATCCCATAAAATAACTAAAGCTGTGGTGATAAATCAACCTAACATACCTGCCCAGTTTGCATTCTCTTGTATACCTAGTCAGCTCTGCCACAAATGAGCTCTGCTGAGAGATTTGCCAGAAAAGTATTAGTGTCATCCCAGACAGTGGACATGACAAGAGGTTTTGGCTTCAGAATTCAAGGGAGCCTCCTACTTGCTTGTCAGCCTCTGGCACAGCTGGCATTGATGAGTAGGCCACTCTAAAGCAAAGCTAAGAAAGAAAAACTAGAACCCACTGGAAGCAAATCCTACATGACTCAAGTCAGTGCAAAGTGGCAAGGCTGCAGGGCCTGAGCATTGGGGTGCCTGCCCTCTATGCTGTCCCAAGGGACCCAGGGAAGCAGGCCAGCTAAGAAGAAACCAATGCCCAGACTGGCCCCAAAGCTTCCTTGTCAGGTAACAGGTCATGTCTCAACTGTCCAGGGAGAAAAACTCAACTGGGGACAGTGTTTCTGTGAAGGATCAGTTTATCCAAGGAAGTGGAGCAGAGGCTGCCAGAGCACTGTAAGGAGTGTTTATTCACACTCAGGACACATGGCAGAGGCTCTGATTGCAAATGACACACAGACAAGAACAGAGGGGCCCGGCAGCCTGCATGGTTTCCATGTGGGCAGAGAAGGGACAGCTCCATCTGTGTCCCAAGTTCTGGGCAGACAGGAGCATCTGCCTCCGTAAGACAGAAATACTCAATCTACAGGTCAAACAGATGGTGGCTTCTATAGGTGAGCTGAGCCTTGATAAAATGCAGATGAGGGTTTTATACATCTGAACCCAAACTGGCGAAAGGCTCAAAGAGCAGGCTTGGCCCACTGCACACTTCTGCTCTGCCTCTTGGGAAGATCTGAAATGGAAGATCTTTCAAGGAGCTCCTCGATGTCTTTCTGTGTGTCATACTGGCCCAGAGGCATCTGTTAACAGGAATAAAGTTCCCGATGGGAAATACAGACTTTTGCTTCTGCCTTAGAGTGAGGCAGGACATCTGCTGCTGGTACCTTTTGGAGATCCAACACTCAAGCTCTTGTAGGGGTCTTTAAGGCATCAGCCCTTCGTCTGTGAGGGTGGAAGGTACCCCTCACAGACACACACACACACACACACACAGAACCCATATAATCAAGCACACACACACAAGCACATTCACACACATTCCCTTTTTAGTCTTGCCTCCAGCAGGGTTTCAGTCTGGTGTGGAGCAGCAAATCCACGAATAAAAGAGTTTCATCAAGGATTTCAGAAGAAGCTCTTCTGATCATGGCTGCTGACAGAAATTGGGGACCCAAGAGAAGGTGGATGGTTACTGAGTTCAAGCCTGACCACAGGGCATGGAACAAGGCAGTGACCACCACATAGCCTAGAACACAGGTAGGGCAAATGAGATGGTCCACTAGGTGCAAGGAGGAATACTATAACCTCTATTATGTTTGCTCTTATTTCCTCCTTCCACATTTTTTCTGATTTATAATAAACATAATACCTTAGTTAGTGGTATATGTATACACTTTAAACAAATATACATGTCTGCATTGGTCATGTGCTTAAAAATGAGGAATCATAGGGCATGAACACTAGCATTGGGTGCTGAGAGGCAGTTGTCAGATGAGTATCATTTCCTCCCCTCCAATTCCTCTTTGAGTTCACACTTTCCATGTCCAGACTGGCCAGTTGCCCTGAGATGTTCCTGAGTAGATTCCTGTCACTAGGCCCCAACCTGGGATAAGTCCTTGTTACATGGAGTGGGTCAGCAGGTACTGGGAATGGCACTTACTCTCTTTGAGGATGTGACATGTGAAAATACTCATGTACCCTAAATCACCTGTCACAGAAAAGGACTACCAAACAGGAAATAAAGATTACACAGAATAAAAGAAATCTATGAGACAGTACACACAGCCACTGGAGAAAACCATTAACTATAAGCAAAAGTCACCCTGGAACAATTCAGCCACAGGCAAGTAAGGTTAGAAATGAATGAAAAGCTTTGTTTCCTTTTTAATAAGTGGAAATAAAGTTACTGGGGCCCCTTTTAAGGGAAATTTATTTTCAATGGGTTGAGGTTTGCACAAAACCTATGGAAATTTTGAGGCAATATTTTTCTTTTTGTGAACATTTAACTACAGTGTCTGGAAGTTGGAACAATTTCTATTTCATGTAAAACAATGTATTATGACCTGTAAATTCATTAACAAGTAACTCAAGACCTCATCTTACCTTTGGAGGAAACACTTTGCAGGTACTCGGTTACTTGAGAGGGAGTAAATGAGTTCAAGAGCATTAAGAAATCCAGGTCGGCTTTCCCGTAGTCACTCTGATACGTGGTCTGCTTCTTTGTGCGGTCCTGATTCTTCATGTGGCTGCAGAGTATAGAAGGGACTAGGGGGACACAGGGAAGGAAAGACAGATGTCACCAAACAAGGCACTTCTGCCCTTATTGGCTGAGCACGGCCTGACAGCCCTGAGTCCAACCTGATGTCTGCTTAATGGTGCCGGAACAGGAGGTGTTGTGTGAGTGACTCGAGTAGGTGGAGTGACTGGGACTCAGCACTATTACTGTGGGAGTGGGAGGAGTTGGAGATGTTCACCAGAAGGTTGAGTTTGACCACTAATTTCAGAAAAGAAGTTTTCCCCGGAATCAACTCTTCTGCAGGTCAGCATGTTAGGATGATAGCATTTGCCTCCTGCATTGTTTCTCTTTCATGCCATCTCCTGGGAAGACTGGGACTCACACATAAAGAGGCCTCCACCAGGTGCCATACGAGGAGCAGTTTGGGACAAGGATGGCATCTACAGTCAGCTCTCATTGCACATTCAGACTAATGGAGGTGTGAGGTGCCAGCCACTTACATTTGATTCTGAACGCTGCTCATTTAATGTGGGTTCTAGTAGTCATGGAGTTACCAAAAAATAAATAAATGAAAGCAATTAAGATGATGTGAGAATCTGTCCACAATTTGTCCAATCTTTGTAAACCAGGAGAACACCTTAAACACGGCTTCAGTTCCAAGTTGCCTCCTTGAAATGAACCATAGGCCTGATGGAGGGACTGGGTAGGTAAGGAGACGACACCACATCTGAGAAGTATTTTTAGGGTCTGAAAATGCTTTTAGTGCAGGAGACTTAGAAGCCATGTACTAAGGTTTTCATAGAACAATAGATTTATACTCTGTGGGAAGAAGAAAAATTGGCTAGAAGTTGAGCAAGAAAGATTCTAACTGTTCAGAATGTTCAAACAGTTACAATATCTAAGAATGAAGGAACTCCTTGGGAATGAGTACTCCTCTGAAGAGTCTGAGCAGGGATGATATCACCCCTTGGCAAGTATGGTTTAGCAGTGACTCACATAGGAAGTGAGAATCTAGAACAAGTCACTTCTCGGCTACCTTCTAACCCCAGATGCTGAGCTTCTGTTCTGTGATTTCTGTGTAAAGTATTACTTGGTCCCAACTCAATGCCAGGAATCAATCACTATCTCAAAATGACACCCAACTCTCAACCAGCAGTGTGGATGGAGGTGGCTGGGTCACGGAACTTTTTCTGTTGAAAGCAATAGAAATCTCAGTCACATACACACCCACCCCTTAAATATGAAGATGCTTGAAGGGTGTGACTTGTGGATAAACTTTCAGCGAATAATTGACAAGACAATTTGATTCCCACCTAATCCCTTTTCCTATAAATTTATAGAAACTGAATTCTTCCTTTCATATTAAAATGGAGGGGGGGTGTCCCCCAATCCCTACACCTGTCCCTCCCAGGCCGAGGATGCACTCATTTCTTGGAATAAGCAGTCATTTCTCTTTGAGACTTACTCATTCCCTGAATTTGAGGGGAGGTACTATGGAGGCATAGTTTTAATTCCATGCAGGGATCACTGTCATTCTCTGAGGCTCTTATTAAGATTAAGAGGAATCTTTAAGCAAGACGATAACATCTATGAAGTTGCTTAATTTTTGTTTGTTTGCCTTTTTTTTTTTGTTAGCAGAAGCAAAATTTAGTGATAGATGGACTCCCCCTAATAGGGAGGGGACCCAAAGTGGTTGCCCTAAAGTTGCTTGAAAAGCTATAGGTGAGCCCTAATTGGTTGGGCTCAGTGGATAGAGCATCAGCCCACAGACTAAAGGGTCATGGGTTTGATTATGGTCAAGGGCATGTACCTCGGTTGCAGGCTCAATCCCAGGCACCAGTCAGAGTGCACAAGGTAGGCAACCAATCAATGTGTCTCTCTCACATCGTTTCTATCTATCTTCCTCTCCCCCTCCTTTCCACTCTCTCTAAAAATTAATGGAAAAATGTCCTCGGGTGAGCATTAACATCAACAACAAAAGTGAAAGCAGATGAGAAAAAAATAAAAAATTTAAAAAAGCTACATATGAAAAATAAAATAAATAAAAGCTACAGGTGTACTTACCTAAGCCCTGAGAAGCGATTGGTGGGCGTGAGTAGCATCCATATTTGAAACTAAAATCCTGACACTCAGGAATTTTAGCTGGAACTTGGTAATTGCATCGAAATTCAGTGTCTGTGGGGTGGGAAAGTAACTTTTTCCGTTCCAGAAACATCTGAGAACTTTGCTTAATTTTCTGAGCTGGGGTGAGGTTGGAAACAAAAGACAATGATTACTCCTTGTCAGTTATTTCTAAATAGCGTCATATTTTCATTCCACTTAGCTTCTGGCAGTAGCTTCCAATTTATCACACTAAACCTCACTCTTTTTATATTTACTGGTATGGTCAATTTCAATCAAGAATTAATGTTCTGCTTTATCAGGCACAGAAAGTATACGCTCAAGTGATTAGAAGCAGTTTCGAATGAATACATGTTTTGCTGGTTAGGAATACTCTTTGTTCTCAAAAGGCATTCCTCACTCCAGCAGGCCTGCCTTGTCCTTGGGGCAGGGTTAGGGAGCAGGGAGAGGTGCTTTAGATAGGGCTAGGGTTGCCATATAAAACAGGATGCCAGTTAAATTTGAATTTCAAATAATGTATAATTTTTAGTGTAAGATTAGGTAAGTACTCAGTATTTATCTACTTGATATCATTCAAATTTAACTGGACATCTTGTATTTTTATTTGTTGCACCTGACAGCCCTAGATGGAGCATTGTATATTATCCCCATTACCACTCAAAGCTCATTCCTTACTGTGGAGGGTTAGGTAACATCATTGTTAGTGGACAATACCACTATTATTTCTTTGAAATAAATCTGCTAACAAATATTCTATAATCATTATCTACTAGAGGCCCAGTGCATGAAATTCGTGCGGGGGGTGGGGGAGAAGTCCCTCAGCCCAGCCTGCACCCTCTCCAATCCGGGATCCCTCTCACAATCTGGAACCACTGGCTCCTAACTGCTCACCTACCAGCCTGCCTGATGCCCCTAACTGCTCCCCTGCTGGCCCTTAACTGCTCTTTCTGGCTGACCTGGTCCCCCTAACTGCTCCCCCCTGCTGGCCTGATCCCCCTATCTGCTCTCCCCTCTTGGCCTGGTCCCCCTAACTGCCTATCTGCTCTCCCTTCCTTTCTGCATGCTTTGGACCCCTGGCGCAGGCATGCTAAGAGCTCTCTGCCATGGCCCTGCTGCCATTACATGATGGTGTCCCAGCCAATTTGCATATTCCTCTATTATTAGTATAAATAATCATTAGATATTTATTAAGCACTAATTGAATGCTAAGTTTCATAGCACTCAACCAGATTCTAGAGGAGATGGTCATAACCTTCTCACTTACGTGAGTTCACCTTTAATTCTTGCTGCAAAATGTTGGTTCAGAAGCATACACCCCCAACTTTATTCAGGACAAAGATGTTAAAACCATGGATGTCATAAGCAATGTCCAAAGGGTGCCAATTACTATTGAAACTAAAGTGAATTCTTGTTCCCAATTAGTTTTTCTTTTTTTATGTGTCCTTTCCCCCCCATTGATCCCCCACCCCCCA